AAATTGCAATAATCATGACGAAGGATTAGAGCTAAGTCTCAATAATAGATCCCAACCAGACAACCCGACAATGCATCCCGGACTGTGAATCAAAAAGATGATGAAATTCTACAATGTGTTCACTGCATATGTCTCTTTGCTTTACGGAGCTACTTTGTCGGTAATACCCTCTGTGTTTAACAGTCCATCATCAACTAATCAGAGGGGCGGAAGGACCTTTTTCGAGACGTCGGGATTGGAACTTTATTTTTTGCGGGAATTTTGGGATTTGGCCTTTATTTTCGCGGGTATTCGGGATTTACAGCTATCGGGACTCGGGAATTAATGATTAATTTTTTGGGATCCGGGAAAGAATATTTTATTTTTTCCGGATTCGGGATGACACCCCCTCCTACCGCCACTCTAATCAGTATTAAATATAACAGTAGTATCATAGGAAACTGGTTAATGCATTAGGTGCAAATAAAGTTTCATCTGTGAGGAACGAAGTTCAAAATTTGGGTATCCGAAAATTGAGAACACACGTCAAAGGGTTGTAATAACCGAAAAGAACCAAAATTATTGATTCAACATTCGGAACAACAACAATTCGCTAGGCTGGTTCTCTCCCTTTCAACATACGGGTATCTGAGTCACCCTTGTTGTCAGAGCCAAACCGATAAAGGACGGGGAACCAGTCGACAACAATTCGTTTTAAAAGTGATGGTGTATATTGTTCAGTAGTCCTGCATTCGATGTTGTCTGTCCTTCCTGTATGTTTCTGTTCATTTTATTACAAATGGTTGTGGTCTTGTAGTGTCCTCGGAGTCTTTTCATGACTTTTTCATCAATAATGAAGATAGGAGCAATTCGATGTTACAGATCTAATTTAATGCATTCCAGATGAATATTGGTGTTTTAATCAAAGGATTACACCAAAACGTTGTGATTGATAAAACAAAGTCCTAAACAATTTTACACGAAAGATAGATGTGGTATCGTTTAAGACTATTCTAATATAGAAATTGAGCGATCGTTTTACTGGTTTTGATTGAAGAATATAAAAGAATGAAAATATTTGATTATATCTGTCAAGGTTCGGGTTCTGTCAGACACAAAGGTCAATAAAATTTATAAATAGAGGAAAGACAGACAACACTACAATCTCTGGCGCAGAATTCATATCCGTTCCATTCCATGATGCGCACTCTAGACAAATCAGTTGAAATAGGATTTTATCTATCCTGTAACTCATCAGATCGATACAAAACAGAAAAACAACTAACAAAAACACAGTCCGGACGTGGCAGGGAATTTATACATCCCTCACAAAAAAAAATGACACAAAGTACAGATCTAAGTGTACTCGCAGTTACTGACAGCTAGTTCAAAGCTAACAACAACCAATATAAAAAATCATGTCACTTAGTCTTAAATATCAATCAGCAGCCGGTTGTACGAACGTTTATGATGCATTAGGCTAATGAAGACTTAATGACTCATTAGCTGCAGTATATGTATATATTACATTCAACGGATTAAGTGTAAAGACGTCATTAACCATCAGAGAAAAACACGACCTAGTGCATTTTAAAGCCTACTTTACAATAGGGGTTTTGCTCAATGTTTAAGGCTGTATGTTGACTGTTATTGTTTTAATCTTTGTCCTCTGGGTCTTTAATGGATATCTCTATCAATCATACAACTTCTCCTTATTTTAATATTTCTGACAGAACTTTATCAAATACGTTTGAGACAAAATGCTTAGGGTGTCAAATAATTTAAACGTTTTGGAGCATTAAAACAAAGCAGAGCCTGAGCGAATCATCCGAAATTCTATGACAGTCTTTAATGTTAGGAAATGTGATATTAAAGACATTATATTTAGTATTCCAAGTGAATTTACCGTATTTTCTTTTTTGTTGTTCATGTTTGAGGGGTTCAGAATCCGCTTCTTCCATCTTATATCAGAAGCAATGCTATTAGTGAAGCTGTGTATAAAAATAATATGATGTGGTATGACTGCTAAAGAGACAACTATCCACCAAAGTTCAAATGGCTTTATGAAGCGGATGTAAGCAATCATAGGCAACCGTATGGCCTTCAACAACGAGAAAAACTCATACCGTATAGTCAACTATAAAAGGACCCGACATGAAAAATATGAAACAATTAAATTGAGAAAACTAACGGCCTAATTTATAAAAAAAAAAACAATTTACGATGAACAAATATGACAGACATGAACCAACGACAACCAATGAACTACATACAGGCTCCTGACTTGGGACAGGCACATAAAGAATGTGACAGGGTTTAACATGTTTAGTGGCGCCAAACCCTCCTCTAACCTTGAATATGGGTGTAACAGTACAATATCTATATCGTGAATGTAACCTTTATTGTTTAATGCTGCTGCTTAACTTCCAATGGCAATTATTACATGTGTGTACCCTTAATAAAACATTGGTATAGTGTTCTCTCTGTGTATATTGTTTGAAACCTTCACTGTGCAAAATAAATTTTAAAGCTCGGTGAAGATTTACCACTAATTTTATTTGACAATGCTAAAACGCAGTATGCAGATTCCTATAAAACTAGGACAGAATTGGAATAATGTAAATAAGCTATACTTATATTAAAAATAATAAACATATTTTTGTCGAGAAAAAAAAGTCTTTCAAATTCATAGATAATTGATATAGCTACAAAACAAACGTATGAATACCAATCCGTACTCAAGTCACGTGTTTCAGGAATAACATTCAAAAGGTACGCACGACATGCCTTTCTAACAAAACCTCCCAAAAGCGGTTCAAAAAGTTTGGAAATAAAAAAAAATACATAAAACATTTTAGAGCGTAAACATTCCATCAATTATCAACTCTAATCAAGGAAACTGGGACCTTATTTTTAATAAGATTACACAAGGTATTTACTGGAAATGTTTGAAAATGTAGCATTAAAATCATACTATGCAGTACCGAAGCACTAGTTCCAAGGTGGATGGTACCTTCTGGCAGCAGCAGTACCGACCAAGTCATAAAAAACGTAAGATACTGATGTCCATGTGTATTACACGTGTTTCAGGAATACTTTTAATCAGTTATGCACATGATCAAGAGTTCAGATGGCCAAAATATATACGGCTTTACGAAATGGAATAACAGAACTTTCATTGAAGGCATCGAACCGACCGTGCGGGGCCAGTATAGTCAAGGTCGTTTTAAACACAACCATCATCATCATAACCGATTCTCAGTTTAAGCCAATTAATTAGCTAAATATTGCATCTTCAGAAGAAGAAGTTTAATAACAAAAAAGATATGAACAGTAATATGAAATTCAGAACATTATATAACATACTTTTATGAATGTGTGTGCAGGTTAAGATGAAAAATACTTGTCTTGAAGTAAAATATACTTGTACAAGAGACTTAGGGTGCACTTGCATTCATAATATATTGCTATAATAATTCGTTTTGATGATATATTACATCATTAATTGTGACTATTTTTGTGCTATATTGTATATACATGTTGAATATATTAGTAAAGATAACCCACATGGGAATTTTATACTTATTTTAAATACAATACTGTTCAAAAGATACATGAGTATATGTGTGCATGTACCATAATTTTCGTAACCCAGATAGTAACAATTATATGCAATATGTCAATGTAACTACATGTATATGATTCAATTACACTCTCAACTCAGTAAGCATGAAATCCACGCTCCCCTATCTTTTCCAGAAGAAGAAAAGTAGATGCTGTGATACAATAAAAAATAATAACAACTGAGAAATCAACAGAATTTCGACATGTTTACATGTGAAGCATCAATAGCATAGACGTGCATGTGGTACTGAAATATTTCATAATCAGCCAATCGGAAACCTCAATTAAAACCTTAATGTGACTGTGTAGTTTAAATTGCTTCTATGGACTAGTCTGTTCAAAAGAATATTCATCAATGTTATTCTTTAAATAACCCCCACCTTAGAACCACTTCAGGATCATTTCGTCCAAGCATTCATATATATAAATTACAAGGCCCACCATATGTGTTTAACCTCTATAGTCGATCTTGGAAACAGAGATGGCGTTTGAGGTTATCAATCATAAGTTCAAATGGCGATTATAATTCCATCATAATATCTCTTTAAGTTTGATAACAATTTGTCCCACTTAGGATTTTTCGTCATAATTTAAAAAATATTTAGGGCGCATTTTCTATTAAGTGTAAAGATGTCGGCCATGTTTGGTGGCAGTTTAAACTACAAGTCTAAAAGAGAGTCACTAGTGATTAATTTCCCACCAGTAAAGTTTCAATTGGTTCTTCTTCATATTTTGTAAAAGATTTCTAGTAATGATGGCAACCAAGGCTGATGGTAGCTAGAGAAAATAATTTCTAGTTGAGATTAGAAATGTTAACTTTTCCCCAAAGTATTCAGAAATGTGTCCTTCGCTGGATATTTTCAAAAAGATATTGATTGTTTGTTGTTTTTTTCTATTTTAGTAAAGGTAGGCACAATTCTATATGGCGGTTGCTGTTAGCAATCATACCCTTCAAAACGATACACAAGTGGGTATAATTTTGCCTGAGCTAAATTGAAGATAGTTCTTCATAGAATTTGCAAAGACCATGCTCGGGTTCAACAGAATAAAAACCATGTATAATAGGGCTTATAAGGTTTCGATTACCATAAGGGTAGCTGCAATTAGTCATTTACCTGATTTTTCACAATGTTTATACAAGAAAGGATATGTGACATTTAAGTTATGAGGACACATAAAAAAAACATATAAGAATAAAATACTAATGCTTTAGAAAAAATGTATGTTATTGTCGGTCGTCCAAATGGTGGAAAAAAGCTGGACTGGAAGTGTTGCATTTTTTGTAAGAAAAACCTATTTACTGCAATAACAATTGTATTTTGTCTGAATTATAAAATTCCTTTGGAGTCTACAATTGACTGATATCAGCAAAAACTTTTTTAAATGGACGAAAGCTTTGTCTTTGCGTTGAAATAACTACCAATGATGATGCTTCTATATTGGAACTGAAATCTTCGTAATGTCAATAGCAGGTATGTATCATAAGTGTTGTTAGTGAGGAAAGTAGGACTTTAATCCTGAAATAAAAAAAGAATAAATATAAACGATTTAAAAATACTGTAACCACATTTAATAACACCAAAAAAACAAAAAATATGCATATTGGCAGAAGAGGTCTTACTTAACATTCTTCAAGGTGCAAGGGGGTTTAAAGTTTTAAAAAAAACTTTTAACATTTTATTTCAATTGTCCAGTTTTAACATATAAAAACTATATTTCATATAATTCATTTGTATTCAATGTTTTTTCAATATTTTATTAACAGATTTTGCGTTTATGGATGTTCGCCAGTCTTGTTTTTGACTTTGTGTCAGATATTCGGAATCATCTGGTGTTATCCATGTAGTGCCATTAAAAATGTGCCCGCTAACCCCTACTTTCCTTTTCATAATTTAATTACATATAGTTTAAAAAGCCATTTTTGAAATTCTTACAAAATCTTTGTTATTTTTTCATATTGAAAGAAAAAAGGAGCCAATGTTTAATGTATGAAAATTCTAGAGAAATCATTTCCCGCCAAATTCTTAATGGCTTATATCTCAAAAACAAGGTCATGGACCTACCCACGTGATTTTCGTTTTTGACTGATAACCGAACGCAAAATAACATTCCTTATCGCTTGTTATATATCAACTTCATCAATAAATATTCATGAAAATAATTTTTAAGAACACAGATAAATGATATAAAAATGTTTTGTCGTGAGAAATATATATATATCAATAATTAATCAAGAATACCAAAAATTTGTGTTAACGCATGCGGAAGAATATCTCAAGAACGTTTTGCGGGAAAATATGAATGCCTACTCAAATCCAATCTACTAGAAAAATCGAATTATTACAGAAGAGTGTCCACCATGCACTTGCACTGCACTATTATTACGAATAGTAGAATAGAATGCTATACAAATGGATGAAAATTATATATACATGTAACTGTTATATACAAATATTAATATTATATATAACAACAAACCAGAGTATACTGATTTGTATCGCTACAATATAATAGTTATTACGGCGAGGTTGAATTCCATGTCATTTATTCATCATCCACGCACGAACTTGTCTCAGAAAAAAATATATATAGGTACCTAAACCTCACTTTCAGGTATAGAGATGTGATTTTTTTCTGAGACAAGTGCTTGTGACCATCCACAAGAACTTGCGGTCATCCGATGTTCAGTACTTCAGTACTTTGATTAAGTTCCGTTATTCATTTCATATACTATCAATTTATAGCAGTCTTTTGAAATTATATTTATTTTGAAAGAGCATCCTTAAAAGTATTGTGATGATTACCTCCGGACTTTTCTGTCGAGATAATATCATCCTCGTTTTCAGAATTGTTCACTTCCATTCCTCCTTTATATTGAAATCCTTCCACACGATTTAACCAGTATGTTCTACCATTTGTCCCGGGAAAGGAAGTCATAAGTTCCTTCTGAAAAAAAAATCGTCGACAAACGTTATGGCATCTTATTTGTACATTACAAGCTGGATCAATTGTATTCATTAAAATGTGTTGAATACAGTTTCTTCGGGTTTCTAGAAAGTAATCGTCAACAAAAGTTACGATACCTTAGTTGTACAATACAAACTGCGTCTATTCATCAATATGTCGAAAACAGTTTCTTCGAGTTTCTAGAAAGTAATCGTCAACAAACGTCATGATATCTTATGTGTACAGTATCATTAATGTGTCGAATACAGATTCTTTGAGTTTCTAGAAAGTAATCGTCAACAAACGTCATGATATCTTATGTGTACAGTATCATTAATGGGACGAATACAGTTTCTTCGAGTTTCTAGAAAGTAATCGTCAACAAACGTCATGATATCTTATGTGTACAGTATCATTAATGTGTCGAATACAGATTCTTTGAGTTTCTAGAAAGTAATCGTCAACAAACGTCATGATATCTTATGTGTACAGTATCATTAATGTGTCGAATAAAGTTTCTTTGAGTTTCTAGAAAGTAATCATATACAAACGTCATGATATCTTATGTGTACAGTATCATTAATGTGTCGAATAAAGTTTCTTTGAGTTTCTAGAAAGTAATCGTCAACAAACGTCATGATATCCTATGTGTACAGTATCATTAATGTGTCGAATAAAGTTTCTTTGAGTTTCTAGAAAGTAATCGTCAACAAACGTCATGATATCTTATGTGTACAGTATCATTAATGTGTCGAATAAAGTTTCTTTGAGTTTCTAGAAAGTAATCGTCAACAAACGTCATGATATCTTATGTGTACAGTATCATTAATGTGTCGAATAAAGTTTCTTTGAGTTTCTAGAAAGTAATCGTCAACAAACGTCATGATATCTTATGTGTACAGTATCATTAATGTGTCGAATAAAGTTTCTTTGAGTTTCTAGAAAGTAATCATATACAAACGTCATGATATCTTATGTGTACAGTATCATTAATGTGTCGAATACAGTTTCTTTGGGTTTTCAGAAAGTAATCGTCAACAAACGTCATGATATCTTATGTGTACAGTATCATTAATATGTCGAATACAGTTTCTTCGAGTTTCTAGAAAGTAATCGTCAACAAACGTCATGATACTGGTATCATATGTGTACAGTATCATTAATGTGTCGAATACAGGTTCTTCGAGTTTCTAGAAAGTAATAGTCAACAAACGTCATGATATCTTATGTGTACAGTATCATTAATGTGTCGAATAAAGTTTCTTTGAGTTTCTGGAAAGTAATCATATACAAACGTTACGATACCTTATTTGTACATTAAAAGCTGCATCAATTTTATTCATTAATGTGTCGAATATATAAACTCACCATAGATACCAGTATTAAAATTGTATAAGCTAAAAGCGCGTTTCGTCTACAAAAGACTCAACAGACTCAATAGTGACGCTCGAATAAAAAAGTTAATAAGGCAAAATAAAGTACGTTGAAGAGCACTGAGTACAGTTTCTTTGAGTTTCTAGAAAATTGTCGAATTTTCGAAAAATGGTGTTTATTAGTTTCGGCTTTAAGATACTCAATATTAAATAATTATTGCTCATATTCCACATGTGAACGGTAAGCTACGATGGTAACACCTGAATAATAGTTTATGCTTCTGTGTTGACATATTCTTATAAAAAATAAGGAGACGTGGTATGATTGCCAATAAGACATCTAAATAAAAAAATAAGGAGTAAGACATCTATCCACAAAAGTCCAAAGGACGTTGATGTAGGTAGCTATAGGTCACCAAAAAGCATTAAACAATGAGCAAAACAAATCCCGTATAGTCAGCTATAAAAGGACCCGACATGACAATATGTTAAACAATTCAAACATTTATGACAAATCAGTAAATGAAAAACAAATCTATATTTCCAATAAACATTTACAGTTTATATAGTTTTTTTAACTGAGGTAAATTGATGTATATCTCCAAAATATATCATCCTCACTTTTTTACACCGCCTCGGTGGTCTTGTGGCAGCGTGTTTGCCTTGAGTGCGGGAGGTCGTGGGTTTAAACTCCGGCCGGGTCAAACCAAAGACGGTAAAATTGGTTATTTGCTGCGCCACTAAGCACGCTGCATTAAGGAGTAAAAGAAAAATTTAAAGACTGGTTGGTTCGGAGTAACAATAATGTGTCCTGATAGGGTGACATGTCTTCCTTCGGACTGTTACCTTATCAACTAGCACGTTTAAAATCCGACTCAGCGTGTCGGTGTAGTACAACATATCGCACAAACATGTTCTCGTCCTGCATATAAACATCAATCCATCACATTTTTACTTGCTACAAAATTTTATGAATTCCTTGATTTGCCCTTTATGATATGATTATATATGCCAATTGCAAAGCAGGATATCCTTACCCTTCTAGAGTACTGGTATCTGATATCATTTCCGAATTTATTGGATGTTTTTTTTCGTGTAATCTGTTGTTTAAAAGAGCTTGCTAGTGTCTTTTTGATTACTTGTGTTTTGCATTGCAGCCCTTTCTTATTGATCAATGATTGATTGATTGTTGGTTGCTTAATGTCCAGTGGCAAATATTTCATGCATGTTCAGGACAAGAACAAATTAACAATAAATACAGTAGGTAGTCCTGTAATAGAGACCAATGAACTGATTCCTATAAAAAGTTTCTGTTTTCTTCCTTCTGGCCAGTGACTGTCTTTGCTTGTCTGCCAACTGTTTTTGTTATGGGCGTATCTGATGTTTTTGTTATGGGCGTATCTAATGAATGGTAAGCTGCATTTTTTAAACTGTATTTTGCAGACGTGTCTATATAAAACAAAGCGCAGCATTTACGCTTCTGAATTGTAATTGATAATTGATATGAATATTTACTCTTATTTCAGCATTTTGTCTCTCCTCCATTTCAAATCCACGAATGACAAGCAGAAGATCTCTTGTCGACTGGCTAAGCTGAATCTTGTTAGCTGAAAAAAAAGTTTTATTTGCAATGGATAACCATTATGATTAGAGTGAAATGAAGTTAAAATTAATAATGAATGATTGAATATCGATTTCTATCTTTCGATTTAATACTGTGGTTAAATCTTTAAAAATTAATTCTTCATCGGTACTAACATTTATTTTGTTTGGGTTTTTTATAAATCAAAATATAACTATAAGAATATGCGTGGCTATACAGTTGGCAACACTTTTGGTTCTGCGTCCTGCCTATACATCAAGTGCACAAGTTCATGGTTTCTCAAATTGTTTATCGTCTTTGCACTAAATCCATTTGATGTTTACTGATTGACATTATAGTCTTGGAAAACCTGCTTTATTTATAGTTAGAATTGGCTTTGAACTATTTCACTAATTATGAGTATTCGAAGACTGGTAGATTGTGTTTTCATCGTGTTATTTTTTTTTTTCCTTTTAGTTGGATTTTTTTTTTGTATGATTATTGTCGATCTGATGAGTCAAGCCTTTTCCGACTGATTTTTATAGTTTATTATTGTGTTGTGCTGTGACATCACTGTAATAAAAGGTTTTAACACTCAAAAACACATGTTTAGCCCACCACTTTCTTTATGTGACCGTAACAAGCCAGGAGCCTGTAATTCAGTGGTTGTCGTTGGTTGCTGTTTATATAAAAATAAGTAGATGAGGTATGATTGCCAATGAAACAACTCTCCACCAGCGAGTCTTGTTTGTTTAACGTCTGTTGTTTGTACATGTTGCATTAAACAGGCCGTTGGTTTTCTTTTTATAATTTTATCTCGTTTTTACATTCCGGTGACTTTTTATAGCTTTCTATATTGTATGGGTTTTGCTCATTGTTGAAGGCCAATCATTGTACTTAAGTTATTCACATCCTCATGATTTTGTCTTTGGTGAATAGTTGTGTCATTGGTAATCATATAACATCTCTTTATTTTTATATACATGTAGGTATCATAATGGAATTGCTTTTATTTCGCTTAATATGAAAAAGAAACTATTCACAGAATTATGTTTAAAACATTTTAACCTTGCATAAAAAGAAGAAATTACCTTTTCCGCATGATTCCATCTTAGATGCGATGCTTACTGCCTGCCCAAACAAACAGAATCGTGGCATCTTCGTTCCCACGACACCAGCTACGACATGACCTTTGAAAAAAATCATAAAATGTATTATACCTTTATGGAATATTTCACCTTTTTCGGAAACAACAGCTCATGGAATATTAAATTTGTCGGCTAAAACAATTTTATTATTGGTTAAATGATGATTTTCCAGTATATTTATCTCTACCTTTCACGATGGTATGAGGCTGAAGGCTATTCTTCAAATTTGTAAGCACAACTGCTCCCTCCAACAATACAAACTGAAAGCAACGAAATAGCCAATAGTGCTGAAAGTGGCGTTAAATACCAATCAATCAATCAATTTTTTAATGTTATTATAAAAACTGAAACTTCTTTAAATGCGTGTATTCGTTGTACAAGCATGTTAAGTAGTGTTCTGTTCAAGATTTTAAACATTTCGAAAACACCCATCTTCAACTTAAGGAGAACTCATTACATCAGTATATAGTTGAGATGAAGATCAGATTACGGATATGGATATGGTGATCAAATAGGAAATGCCTATGATTAAGGATAGGATATATATAAACCATAGAAGCCCACCCATATCAGGGTTATACGTCCGTCAGTTGCAAATCGAACGTCCAGAAAACATAATAAAGCTTCCAATTTGATTTATATCTCTTTAGTTTTTCCATAATGGCATCTAAATAGAGGCGCGAAGCTCGAGATCGAACTCATACCATGAATTGTAACTGTCAGTAGTACAAAGTATTACAGATTACACCCAACTTAATTTAACTTGATCAACTGGTCATGTTGCAGGGAAAACAGTTCTAATCTGAATGGCACAATGTTTGCTTTAAGGGAACGACCATTTAACTTCAAGGGGGGGGGGGGGGGGGGGGGGGGGGGGGGGTTATGTTTTTTTTTCTAAAAAAATATTCTGATCCCCAATTTAATGAAAAAAATATTCTGGTTAAACAGATGGCAAAAAAAAAATATTCTGAATCCAGATTTTCCCCATACCTTATAGTGTTAAATATAAAAAAAAATGATTTGATTGATAGCGTTGAAAAACTAAATAAAAAATTTCTGACTCAGACAAAAAACCATAGCCCCCCCCCCCCCCGCCCTTGAAATTAAATGGTTGCTCCCTAAATGATTTTTAATTCTGATGGTGTTAATTATTTCTTTTTAAGTTGATTTTAAACCATTTGCAATTTCTTTTGCCTCAGTTCTGGATTAATTTTTAATCTAATTTTACCCGAGTGAATTCCAATTCGAATTTTTAGTTTGATTCCAGGAAGATGAGGCACCTCTAGACATTTAACATGGCTGAGTAAGTCCACGGCCATAGTTGCAATTTCTGAAGCATGACGTCTGCCATTACACTTTGGAACACCTATAATGTAAAGCTTAAAGTTAATCAGGTCGTCTTTCCTATTTATAAAATAGTTATTCTTATGTGTCTTTCAGTAATAGTCAGCATTCGTGGATACGGTGTTATTTGTAATTGTTAACATACTCACCCCTTTTCGTCCAATGGAACTTCTATTTTCAATGTACATGGTTTTCCATGCACTATAAAATGCTATACTTGAATGATTTTTCATTGTAGATTTATTATTACAGGGAACTCTAAATAACACAACTTACGAAGTGAACAATCCCCCCGATGCAATTTCTTTAGGAAAAGCGCATTAGAAAAAATTTCATGAGTACTGTTGTTTAGCTAATTACGCAGAGAAAAGAATCATAAAAACATTAAAGCTGAGTTTTGAAGACTGCAAACGTTATATTATGGGTTAGTTATGGAGGGGGAAACGAATAATAAACACACTGAGATTAAGAAAACATAAAAAAAAAAAACACGCACTGACAGTTATAGATAACACGTTGAGATATAGAAAAAAAACATATTGCAATAATACACACTCAGAATTAAATATTACACAATGAGAATAAACAAATATACAATGAGAATAAAACATTACACAATGAGAACGAAAAAATACACACGCTAAGTTGTAGCGTATGTTTTTAATTATTTCTTAATCTAAGAATGTGAACTTTACGAAATGTGACTTAAACATAGTTTTGACGAGAATGGTTGCCATAAAGATCATTGCCATAAAGATCAGAGCTTTTTAAAACTGTTTCTGTTGTTTTTCTTTTGTGAAACTGTTTACACTGATCGAGATTCTAATGGAAATAGGGAATGGGGAGGGGTCGGGGGTGTTAAAAAGATGGGTCAACCCCGCAATATGTTCATGTGTTGGTCAAAAGTATATGAACATGAATATCTTACTGTTTTTGTCTTTTATGGAATTTGGCGTTGATTAAAGATATGTAATAGTCTGTGTTAAATTTGTTAATTTATTCACTATTCAATTGTAAAAATATGTTCATGCCAAATTGTGGATATTATTTTTCTAGAAGTTGATTGATAAAATATGTCTACAATAAATTTATACACAGTTTTCCTAGGGTGATTAGAGCTGGACGTATTGCATAGACACGTGTCTGTTATTGAAGACCTTATATAGATATAGGAAGATGTGGTATGAGTTCAAATGAGACAACTCTCCATCCAAGTTACAATTTATAAAAGTAAACCATTATAGGTCAAGGTACGGCCTTCAACACGGAGCATTGGCTCACACCGAACAGCAAGGGCCCTAAAAAATTACTAGTGTAAAACCATTCAAACGGAAAAACCAACAGTCTAATCTATATAAAAACGAAAAACGAAAAACGAGAAACGAGAAACTTATGTTGACTTTTGATGCTTCGTTGGGTTCTGTCTCATTGACGTATATAACGTAACTCGTTTTATTCATGCTAATTATAGACCATCTTGAGGTTGCGGAGCCTTGTTGGTCTCATACAGATAAAGAGTTGTGAGGTTTTTTTTAAGTCAAACGCTGGAGGTGTAATCTAGCTTACTAGATTTGGAGTCAAGCGCTGGAGGTGTAGTCTAGCTTACTAGATTTGGAGTCAAGCGCTGGAGGTGTAGTCTAGCTTACTAGATTTGGAGTCAAGCGCTAGAGGGGTAGTCTAGCTTACTAGATTTGGAGTCAAGCGCTGGAGGTGTAGTCTAGCTTACTAGATTTGGAGTCAAGCGCTGGAGGTGTAGTCTAGCCTACTTGATTTGGAGTCAAGCGCTGGAGGTGTAGTCTAGCTTACTAGATTTGGAGTCAAGCGCTGGAGGTGTAGTCTAGCTTACTAGATTTGGAGTCAAGCGCTGGAGTTGAATAGTCTATTGGTGGATATCCAAAGTCCAGCGCTGGAGATATAAATTCCAGCGTTGTCCACCATTAGCGCTTGACTTTACATATACAGTACTAGACTTTAAATCTCCAGTCCTTGACTTAAAAAAAAGAAATCTTCGTATGTATGAGACCAATGGGGCTTCATATGATGTCATTTCCTTAGATTGGTGATAATTAAGACTTCTAACAACATTTACTTTTGAATGCCTATAACTTATAAGCAATACGATTGAAAATTCATTATATGATTACATATCCCAGCTTGTGGTTTTTATTTTTTGCCTCGCTTTCCAATTATCAGATTGTTGAAGTTCGTTGTTGATCGTACTGGATTTCCACGTGTTATGGCTAGCTGAATGTCAGTGACAGAGATCTGGTTATTAAAAGGCAAAGATGCCAAGAAAAAACTAAAGACTGGGCAACAAGACAACAACCAAACCCTGGGGGAACTCTAGGGGTATCAGAGTTTCCTACTCCACTAGTTTTATCAAAACAACCTATTTATCAAATAATTAGATGGATATGTTTTAAATCCGATATATGCATATCTTGTTGTATAATTTCATCGGAAATATGAATACGGTAATCGTCATTTAGAACCCAATGATAGTGATGTAAACATACCCGACACAACCATGTAAGCATCGCCAATGGTTTCTACTTTATATACGTCATAAATGTCTATCCTCTCATCAAAACATAAATACAATGAATTCAACATGTCGACAACTTGTAGGGGTGAACTCGCTGCAGATATGGATGTGAATCCCACTACGTCACTGAAAAACATAGTGGACTCGTTGTACTGTTCAGCATCCACTTGTTCGCCTTTCTTCAACATTTCTGCTACAGATTGTGGTAACAGTTGGTAGAGTAGCATGTCTGTTCTTTTCTTTTCTTTATTCAAAGCTTTTGTTCTATATAATAGAGAAGAAGTAATAAGTTATAATTACTTCATGTTACAAAATTCAATTAGAGAAAACTCATAAAAGGTAACTTTTTAAATGCAAACTTGTAGTTTTGATGATTGGGATATAGAAATCCTTTTCGTTTCCTTTCTTTTTAATAGAAAGATATATAAAGACTCGCGTGATTCACAAGCACGTGCTATTTCTATCTCACTTTTCAAATGCGTAATTAATCTATCTTGAGGTAATGCAATGTGCTTTCATACAATTACGGAATCAAATAATATCTAGGGGAAAAAATAAAGCTAATTTACCTATTTGCAATGGATATTGAATATTTTTGAATTTCAGATGTCAGATTGTAAACTGCAAACACAATCAACGGACAGACAATAAGGATGATCCCAAAGACAATACAAATGGTAATAACACTTTTGAGTTCTTCCTCGGACTCTTTGGCTAAGCTTTGATCAACCGTCAACGCTAGTGCGTTCTGTGTTCGCGTTAGGACTCCCTGATATATAGTCATATTGTCAAACCACATTTCTGCTTCCTGAATGGACGCAGACTCCCTGGAAAAGTTGTTTGCCTTAATTCTGTTTCTGAACTCTTCAATTCTTACACTGACATTTGGGTTCTTGGCCAACTCAGCGTTATAAATGTCAAATGCAATTTGTGAATAAAACCTTGCTGATTCGAATGTAACATTAGCTCTATCTTGGTTTTCTATAAACAGAAGATACTCTTCTCTCGATTCAAATCCACCTGTTGCATAGAACGAGACACCTAACGCACGTTCCCGTCCAAAGAGCTCACTGGCTACGATGATTTCCTGGTATGCCACGACATCTTTCCATACGGAACCAGTACTTGATTCACTCACGGAGTCGTAGAGCCATTTCAACAGAACTAGAATTATGTTCGAATAAAAATTTAATTCTCTTTCAACCGAAGGCATATGGACATCTAATTGGTACCTATGTTCGTTCAAATAAGACAAGAACCGCTCTGGAGTTTCCATGTCAGATATGATGTCATCTCCCTTAGGCCAGTTTGATAAATTTTGAATTGCTAAATCTGTATCAGGGTAACGTTGTAACAAGAAATCCTTGGTCACTGGTTTTATATTGCTGACATATAATGCGCTCATATCGCGTTCAAACTGAATTGTACGCAACAACGCCCCTAATTCTATACTAAACACGAGTAACTGCCGAACATTGGACGAGCTTATATAGTTACCAACTGCGATAGCAAATGTGTTCGCCGTCATTCCTGTGATAACCAATACTGGTATCAGCACAACAGACAACATCTTTATCATCTGTTTTCGTTTTCCAGCATCAGTTATAGGGTTTCCTGAAACAATAAATTATACTCTTGTCCAATATGTCCTTTGTATCAATTTGAAGGAATGTATGATTAAAAACTAATAAAAGCAACGAACCTTTTTTATATAATCAAAAGAATCCATTACTTTGAGTATCTTATGATCTTGGCATTGGTTATTTTCAGTTCTTTGATTTTTCAAGAATCTAAAACTGTTCTGATCCTGCAGTTGTGTATTTTTTTTTTCATAATTGCACACGTTGATTGAATTGTTGTCGTTAATTTCCGTCCAAATCTGTTCGGAATTACGGGGTTAATTTCATCCCATTTACGACATCTGTCCCCCTCAAAAGTTAAATTTTAAAATTATAAAAAAAAAATAATGCTCTATACGCCGCGGCATTGTAAAGTTTGAAAAAGTTAGTGCATGTCTTACCACACATATTTTACAACAGTTATTAAAGCATACATTGTGCCTTTAGATACGAGTTAACTTAATACATCTTGTAGGTATAGTGCGAACGAAAGATTTTCGTCCATTCTCAAAATAAGTAATTTTGACAGTTATGAGGTATTTGCATAAAACAAAACACCCAATAAATCACAAAACCACAAAAATATGAAAGTTTCATTTGTCTCATAAACCTGTTTTGTTTTAGGTCGAAAGAATGGATATGGAGTGAAAGTACAAATGATAAGAGTCTTATGAAAAGACCATGATGGTCGGTAGCTTTGAAGTACGTGTAATTTTTTAATTCATAGTATCAAAACTTACTTCTCAAAGTCCAAATTATGATGAAATTTTGATAGAAAATAGACCTACCTCTGCAAACGGCATCACATTTGGTGGCAGCTTGTCTTGCATTTATCATCTCCATAATATGGTCGTTCAGTTCAGATGGCGACAGGGATAGATTGGATGCATTAGACAATGACCTTCCGACACGAACATCACCAGGATGAATTTTCTTACAGGCATTCATAGTTTATGATTATCTGAAATATACATCAGTATACAAGTATTGTTCATCGTTTGGACGATAGTATTCAAATAGATATAAATAATTTCAAAAATATTGAGAGAATCATATGATATTTCAATAGATCTTATTTCCATTAAACAAAGTTTCCAATCTCTGGTTTTACATGTATTACATGTTTCTATGTGCGCATTTCTCGTCTGTGGTTATTAAAACTATGAATAAAATCTTAAAACGATAAAGAGGGACCAATTTTCCTGAATTTGTTTCACTCACATGGTCAAAATTTGAAAAAGAGGGGCGAAAGATGCCAAAGGGGCATTCAAAGTCATAAGTCGAAAACAAACTAAAAAAATATATACAAGTAGTATAACAAGTAATCCTTAACCATCCAACCTATTGTATTAATTGTCAATCTGTTCTCGACCTGAACATACATGAAATATTTGCCACTGGTCATAAAGCAAACAACGATCAATAAATCAATCATTAACAAAATTTTGCAGTTTCGATCGAGCCATCTTTGGGCATTTATAATTTGTTCACATGTTCGAAAATACACCAATGTCCCTGTTGTGAACTACACTCATCAAAAATTAGTCCTATCTCTTATATGTGCATCTATACTGGTGGAGAATTGGTAGAAACACTTAAAATAAAAAAAATACAATCATCTTACCTTCGTCTTTATATTAAATCTAAGGACATCTTGTTTAACAAATTGTCACCTAATAAACGTTACCATAGCAACCTAAATAACTATGAAAATCTTTGCTGAATGATTATTAACACCTTATGTCTTCACTAGCTAGCAACAACACCTGTAATCAACTTTATACAACCTGTTTCACATACTGTTCTTGGTTAAATACAAATTTTAAAAAGAGGGACCAATTTCCCCGGAATTTATTTCACACAAGGGCCATTTTCTTAAAGTCTTTCAATCTTTACTAATATTTAAACTACACGTGTATGACAGCTTCATGTATCTACTTGAGGGTCTGACACCATTGTGGAATATTGCTGGACGCGTAACCAAATGTTGCATACCTAATAATTGGCATAATTGGCAAAAAATACAATTGGGTAGATTTGGGCAATTTTTAGTAAAATTCACAAAAATGATTACGCAGGATAGTCTTAACCAACAAAGCCTTGTTTTGACTTTCATATACAAATTATTTCATGTTGGTAAAGAATGTATTACAGTTTATTCCGTTGGGGTACCATATGGAACTCTTTCCCTTTTGAACCCGCAAATATAGCATGCATGTACCAACAAATAAATTACCACAATGTTTGTAAATATATACAACACCTTTCATGTAGATATTTGTGTGGTACTTGAATGCGATCAATATTTCCCACTAATATGTGTGAAAATAAGCATATTTTGTCTTTGTTTGTAGAAAAATTGTAATTTTGCAATCTTTCGACTCTAAAATCTCCGTAAATAATTATAATTTTTCACAGTTTTAACGTTGCACATACTTAAAATCCTCTTGATTTCTAATCTTCATATTTTGTAGGCCGTAAGGGGCTCTCATCTTACCTTCTATATAAAAAAATGCAAAAATTTGCAACTTTGTATAAAGACTGTCTTTAACAAACAATTATAGCACCGACCAACGTTTATAGATATGTGTAAAAATTGTTGTAAAATCAATGTGTATTATTTAGAGTCATGAAATTGTAATCTCTGCTAAATATTCGCATCTTCTTAGACTTTGGCCGATTTAGAGCTTGACACATTGTACAAGTCATTTGAGACCGTATGTTGATTTTGAGATTTGTTTTTGTGTCATTGGTGTGCTGTCTCTTTGAGTTTATACCACATCTCATTTCATTCATAGTTGTAACAGAAGATAACAAAAAGGATTTCAAATAGGAATTTTTAACATTTTTTCAAACTTTTTCAAACCATAAAATACTTTGGAAAAGTAAATATAGGACATATCTTAGTGATCAGGAGACAGTGTGCAGGGACATTCCGACAGGAATCTCCTACCCGCCAGAAGAAAAAGAAAAAAAAAGAAGAAGAAGAGATGCAACATATAACTAAATACTAGACAACTCTTTGTAACTGATTAGTACAAAATAGAAACGTTTTGTAAAGCGTCTACGTATCATTAATCGCACAAAATATTTGGTTTTGCAGCTCAAAATATACATTATAAATTTAATTCAAGAACTAACTGTCTCTCTTGGCTATGTTGTTTGATTGGACTGAACTCGTTGAACTAAATGAGTGAACTTATATATGTTATATTAAAATTTAGTTTTTGGCAATTCGTAATTTTACTAAATTGTGATAAAGCATATATATATATATACAGGATCAAAAATGTTTCTCGTTGGATTCAATGTGATCCTATGTGGCACCATTCCCGACAGACTAAACAAGATGGCTTCTGTAAGATTTTGCTTTCCTTGAGCTTGTTGGTTTTGGGAATCGTTCTTAGCGTTGTGTGACTCTCATGGTGTGTTCTTAGTAATCATTCGTATTTAAATTTTGGATATTATATAAAGTTCTATTTCTATTTCTACGATATGAAATCTTGTTCGTCTACATCTCGAGTTATTGTGGCTGTTCGACCTTTCGTTGTCTTTACTGGATCAAATTTAATGACTGTTTTGTGGACTGAGTTTACTCTGTTTTTAGTCACTTGATTGCGGCTTTGTTAACGTATATATTCCTTCTTTTTTGTCTTAATCCAGTCTAGGCTGGTAAAATATAACAAATCATCAAAAAACTGGAAGCTAAATTAGTTATTTTAATACTTTAACATAAACAACTCACCTTTTAACTTCTTTTTAATAAAACTAAATGCGTGCGCAACTTAACTGAATGTCATCATATGTTCCCATGGAAACATTATCATAGGCATATTTGAACATATAATTCCAATCAGAAGAAAAAGACCATACCAACAACAACAGTCATTGTGTATAGATTTTCAAACCATAAAAACAGATATTACATTCCAATCTCTAAAATAAACAAGACAACCAACCATTCCAGAAACCAGCAAGCTCATCAAAATCAGATACTAGTAAGGTACTTACAGGAACAATTTTTAGTCTGATCAGATACAGTGGTCAGGCACACAAGGTGGACTTAATAGGAAAGGGGGTATTTGGTAAAATTGGAATGCATAACAACAGTTTTTGTTGATACATTTTGTTTATGAATCCCATATATCTTCGTAAAATATACTGGTCAGGAGTGAAATATCCCGGTTATTTAGTGGTTACCTTGACAGAAAATATGAGCTCATATCCCCTGTGAACAAAAACGAAGATCACATTGGTAAATACTGTTAAAGGTACTCAAGTATAATATATTTGTTATCAAGGCTTCACATGAGATGAGGGCTCATATTCCCTCTCTGTTCCCTATATCATCTTCGCCTCATGACTTGCGGGGATATAAAACACTGGCAGGGAGCCCTTATTCCCTATAAAGATCGCAAATAACATATCCATGCAAGTCACTTTATCTCTATCTACTAGTAAATGAAGCCGGTCTGGACGAATAAGTATAGTTCATGCCTTCTTACAGTCTTTCATTTCAGCTGTTGAATTTATTCACAATTTGTGTAGACTGGGAAGAATTTCGATTTTTTCATCAGGGAGCTTCACATGGTAATTAGTAACAACAATATTAACGGTTCCAATTTTTCTGAACCAGACACGCATTTCGACAGTAAATGTTTCTTTGATAATCGAGGCCAAAACCTATCAAAAATTGATAATGTTTATGGATGACTGTTTAAAGTCCAGCGGCAAATTAAATGCATATTCAGGTTGGGAACATGGTAATATAATATGAATATTAACCATGCTTTTACTAGATCGACACGCTGGGCCGTATTCTTAACGTACTAGTTTGCAGGAAGACATGTCAACCTACCCGGACACATTATTCTGCAGTCTTTGCTCTTACTCCTGAATTCCGCGTGCTTAGCGGTGAAGCAGTATATACCAATTTTAAAGTCTTCGGTATGACCTGGCCGGGGTTCGAACCCACGACCACCTGCACTTAAAGCAAACATGCTACCACGAGACCACCGAGGCGGTTTAAGAAATTGACGACCTGATAAACCAAAAAGGACAAATTATCTGGTGTTTTGTTTTTGTTTTCTTCCTTTTCTTGATAAGTAAACTTTATTTAAAGCCGACACGTTTGTTCCAATCAAGTTTTGTCAAGTTATCTGTCAATGTGAATAAAAATCAATTGTGTATTCTTTATTATTGTCAGAGATGTGTGTGAATTATTTTTTACAGTTATTTTAAACGAAAGCAATTGATATGGCAGCAAGGTTTTTTTAGACTGCAATGACATTCTCACATTATTTTTTTTTTCAATCGCAATCCGAAAGTTGTTCTAACCTTCTAGACATGCATCGGTCATCTTCGCTAGCGAAGATGTGCATCGGCATACTTTGTAAAAAAACACTCGGATTAAAAAAAAAATCTATGAGTCTGACATCATCAGTGTGCTTGTTTTTTTTTTTTATTGGCAACATATTTGTTACGTTGAGGGGAAGTGTATTTCGATAAACAATCGGCATTCTTATGGGAACTAACTGTGCCCCTTTTCTTGCTGACTTGTTCTTTTCTCAAATGAGGCAAATTTATACAGGAGCTTCCAAAAAATTAATGAGAAAAGCTAGCATTATCCATAAACTTCACGTTCCGTTATATAAATTATGTCTTGTCACTAAATAAATCAATGTTTTCGTGTATTTATATATCATTGGTTCTAAAAATTTTTGGCCTTGCGCATTTCTGATGAAGGTCAATCCAGAAAAGCTCTTCGGAAACAACAAATTTATAAAGTGTTATTTTCATTTACATCTAGAAATTGACAATCAAATGAAAACTTTACGACGAAAAGGGATGATTTCAGCTTTCCAATTGTGAACTTTTTATTTCTATGTTGCATCATTACAGCAGAGCTTGCATATGGGGAACATATTTCCCGGTTGAAACGATATTCA